GGTGAAGGAGGAGGAAGAAGAACTTACCAATGACTGAAGGGAGCAGGATTATGAGAGCCCAGCTTCCCCATCTCACGTAGGGCAACTCTGAGGCATGACTTACTCTCCAGAATTCTCCTGTGGGATCAGGCTGAAACTATTCTCTACAGGACACACCCTACCTTGGCTCTCTCCTGTGCTCTGCTCTGCTTCTCCAACATCATTAGTAGTTTCATTTGCGAGCACTTCATTAATAACTCACTTGTACGTGAATTCTATCAGAGTCTGCTTCTGAGGAAGCTACACTAACACAGCCAATAAGAAATTATTATTTTTTAAATGTCAAAAATCACCCAGTAATAATATGCAGTGGATTTCCTGTTAACATAATTATTATTCTCAGATCTAAAGGATGACTCTAGCTGTATAAAGAAATGAGGAATGTTTCTAAATATTACTTTAAAGTGGTTAACACGATATATTGCTAACTTTAAAAAGAAAGATGGAAAAAAAAGTGTGTATTGCATGCTAACTAAGAAAGAGGCGTAAATAAAACACATGTATACACTTTTTATGAACTGAATGCCCCCCCAAAATTCATATGTTCCAGTCCTAAACCGCAACGTGACTGTATTTGGAGATAGGGCCTGTGAGGAGATGATAAAGGTTAATTAAATGAGTTGATGCGGGTGAGACCCTAATCTGATAGGGCTGATGCTCTTATAAAAACAGAAAGAAACATCAGGGCCTTCTCTCTCTGCCATGGGAGGACACTGGAAGCCAGAAAGAGAACACTAACCAGGAACCAAATCATCCAGCACCTTGATAAAATTTTAGCTAGGCTAACCAAGAATAAAAAAAGCGAGGATTTAAGTTACTAAGATCAGGAATGAACAAGGGGATAATACTACCTACATTACAGAAATAAAAGGATTATAAAATAATACTATGAAGAGTGGTACACAAACAAATTAGGCAACCTAGATGAAACAAATTTCTAGAAAGACGTGAATGACCAAAACTGACTCAAGAAGATACAAAACATATAAGTAGAACTATAACAAGTAAAGAAATTGACTTAATAATCAAAACCCTTCTCACAAGAGAAGCTCAGGCCCAGATAACTTCACCGCTGAACTCTATCAAACTTTTAAAAAAGAGTTAACACTGATCATTCATAAATTCTTCCAAAATACAGAAAAGGGAACATATTCCAACTCATTCTATGAAGTCAGAATTACTCTGATACCAAAATGCAGATGAAGACATGACAAAAAAGAAAAACACAGAGCATATCTCTTATGAATATAAATGCAAAAACTCAACAAAATACTAGCAAACTGAATCCAGCAACATATAAGGAGGATTATACACCATGACCAAGTGGATTTATCCTAGAGTGCAAGGTCAGTTTTACATACAAAAATTAATCAAAGCAATACACAATATTAATAGAATAAAGAACAAAAACCATATGACCATTGCAATAGATGCAGAAAAAGCATTTGACAAAGTCCAACACTGTTTCATGACCAAAAAACATTCAACAATTAGGAATAGAAGAGAATTTCCTCAACCTAAAAAGAACATCTATGCAAAATCGAAAGCTAACATCAAACTGCTTTTAATAATTGTATTGCTAATAATAATTTTTGGTATTTTTACATCAAACACTCTAGGCAACCAGATTGTTTCTTTAATTCCATATTCACCAAAAAGAACCAAGGTTTCTTGGAGAAGTGACTGATTCCAAGTCTGTGACAGGAAATGTACAAGATGAGGCTGGAAGCTCATAAGGTGAGAAATGTTGAAGACTACTGGGGCCACATCTGAAAAATTTGGCAGCCAAATGGAACAGTTTGAGCATGCATAGAAATATGGACCGAACATAGAAGATGTTTTTAAAAATTCTTGAATTCATAATGATATTCATAAAATAAAAAACCTATTGCTCACCTTTGGAGAAAGCTACAGAACTAACTCATCTTGAAAAGTGGTAAATGATGGAAAAGAATAAACATATAAGCTGCCTTCCTGTGTAAACTGTACTGCAAGGTATTCAAATAGTTAATGAGGGAAAGTTTGTCTGTATAGAAATATTCTAGCTAATAAAGAAAGAAACGATAGAATTAGAACATCACCTTTTTAAATACTTAATGAAATAATGATTAGGCAATAATAATTCATGGTTGTTGACATAATAAAATAAGAATAATTGGAGTTTATATGCCTCCTGATGGAAGTATATATAATAAAAATCATAGCTGAATCTGACCAAGCCCCTACTTCTAACAACCAATTAATTTTTAAAAAACAGAAGACAGAGGAAATGTTAACCTCATAGGAATGCAATAAGTAAAATCCAGAACGTGGAAAACTTTACAGGACAAATGACCTACTTTATTCAACAAGTAAGTCATAACGTAGCACAAAGGATGGGAGAGAAAATGGAAAGCATACTTTTGTAAGATTCTTAAACTCTGCATGAGGCAGCATAGTATTGTTCAAAAGTAGACTACAACAAATCAATAAGTGCATTAGAAAATGAGGTACGATTAATTAACCAAATGGAGATAAAACGGAATGATAAAAAATTTTAATTAACTCAAAAGCAGGTGGAAAAAAAATAAGGAAACAAAAAGTAGATGAAACAAATGGAAAACAACTAACAAGTTGGCAGATTTAAACTCAACAATATCAATAATTAAACAAAATGTAATGGCGTAAATATTCAAATAAAGTCAGAGATTTCTCGTTGGATACAAAAGCAAGATCCAACTATAAAGATAATCAGTTAAAGGTAAAATGATAGAAAATGATATACCATGCCAACACCAATCAAAGGATGACTGGAGTGGCTGTGTTCATATCAGACAATGTATATATCAGAGCATGGAAGGTTATCAGTGTTAAATAGCATCATTTCACAATGATGAGAGAGTCAACTAACCAAGAAGACATAACAATCCTAAAGACATATGCACCTAACAACAGAGCTCCAAAAAGTGAAGAAGCAACTGTTAGACCTGAAAGGAGAAACAGACAAATCCACAATTACAGTAAAAAGTCCAACAGCTCCCTCTCAACAATTGACAGAATTAATATACAGGAAAATCAGTCTGGGTATAGAAGATCTGGGCAGCAGCATCAAACAACTCGATTTAACTGACATTTCCAGAACACTTCAACCAACAAAAGCACAATATACAATCTTTTCAAGTGTGCATGAAACAGTCATCAAGATAGACCACATTCTACACAACAAAACAAATCAAAAATTTAGAATAATTGAAATCATACAAAGTCTACTCTCTGACTATAAGAAATTTGCCTAAAAATCAGTAACAAAAATATCAGGACATCCTCAAATATTTGGAAATTAACAACATACTTCTAAATAACCCGCAGGTCAAAGATGAAGTCACAAAAAAATGGGAACACATTTTGAATTGAATGACAGTGAAAATATAACATGTGAAAATTGGTGGGATGCAGCTAAAACAATGCATAAAGATAAATTTATAGCATTGAATGCTCATTTTAGAAAAGAAAATGGTCTCAAATCAATGATCTAAATTTCCATCTTACTAGAAAAAGAAGAGTAAGTTGAATCCAAAAAAGGAGATGGAAGAAAATAATGAGCATAAGTCAATAAAATTGAAAACAGTAAAACAATAAAGATTATTGAAACCAAAAACTAGTTCTTTGAAAAGATCAATAAGAATGATAAACCTCTTGGAAGACTGACCAAGAAAAAAAAAGAAAGAAGCACATTACCAATGTTAGGAAGGAAAGAGAAGACATCACAATAGATCCCAGCAGCATTAAAAGAATAATAGGAAATATTTTATGCCAATGAACACAACAACTTAAACACAATAGACATATTCCTTGAAAGAAACCAGCTATGAAATCTCCTCAAAATGAAATAGATAACTGCAATAATTCTATATCTATTAAAGAAATTGAATTCTTAAAAACTTTCCACAAAGAAAATTCCAGGCCCAGATGACTTCACTGGGGAATTCTACCAAATATGTAAGGAACAAATAACATCAATTCTACACAAACCCTTCCAGAAAATAGAATAGGAGGGAACACTTGCCAGCTCTGTTTATGATGCCAGTATTATACTGATACAAATACCAAGCAAAAATACTACAGAAAAAGAAAATTGCAGACCAACATCCCTCATGACACAAATGGGTCTCCCAAAATATCAGCAGATTGATCCAGCAGTACATAAATTTCAAGAGAGAAAAAATTAAAAAAGAGTAAATTTAGATATTACAAGAAACTTAAGGTAAATATCAACTAGAAGCTTTGTGTAGGTCATGTGTAGATCCTGGTTAAATCAAACAAAAGAAAAATCGGAGAAATTTAAACATTTACTCAACATTTGTTGATATCAAGGACTTATTGTCAATTTTTTCAGTATGATGATGATATTGTGACTGTTTTTTGAAAAAGATTCTTTAGAGAAATAATCAGCCATACATGCTGAAAAAAGTACAGATCGTATGATATAATCTATAGGATTTGCTTTGAAATAACCTATGTGAGGTGGTAGTGAGGAATGGGAGGGGTTATAGATGAAACAAGATTGAGCATATGTTAATAACTGCTGAAGCTAGTTTCACCACACTATTCTAATTTTATATATGTTCAAAATTTCCATAAAATAAAGTTTAATAAGTTTAATATAAAGTTTAAAAAATAAGCGATTAAAAGTACTGCTTTCCTAGTACATCCCTGAGAGGTTCATTCCATTAAAGGACAATCACAGGCCTGCTAAGCTATAGATCCTTTTCCCTCAACTTTAAAAGGAAGCTATTGAGGTCTAAGCCCCAAACACGTGCCCCTCTTCCCATTGGTTTACTACGAAAATATTTTAAAGCTTTCATATTTCAAGACTTTTCTTACATAATGGTGGTAAACTAAGATTACTTTTTTATTGACAACCTTCTCCTGTTCCTATCTTGGGAAAACCATTTTGTGATTTTTTTTTCTTTAATACTTACTAGGTACCAGGCACTCTGCAAAGCTGCTGAGATGTGAAGTTGAAAACAAAATAAAGAACATCTTTCTCTCCAGTAACTGCTGTGCAACAAACACTCTAATGCCTATGATTTTCTTGGATGATATTATCATCTTCAATCTGTAAATGAGAAAACAGTTTTAGTTACTTGGCATGTGGTCTAAAACATGTGTCATTCGTTAAAGAACTTGTTTACGTGATAGGTAGGATACCAGACCATTTTGTTGTTTTGTTTTGTTTTTGTCTACACCATGGGTCAGCAAGTTCTTTCAGTAAAACTCCAGTTGGTAAATATTTTAGGCTTTGCAGGCCATGTGTCACATATTCTTTGCTTTGTTTACAACTCTTTAAAAATGAAAAACATTCTTTGCTCTCAGGCTTAAAAACAAGCCATGGCCCAGATGTGGCCTGTGGGTCACAGCTTGCCAACTCTGGAATAGACGATGGTTTGTTTCATTTTAACTCACTTATAACATCTCATTTCAATTAAAATCATTGAAACGTGAAGTTGCCCCCATGATCTCCTATCCTGGTCCCTTATTGCCCTCAGAAGACTCACTCGTCCTGAGGAGGGTTAGGATTGCTTAGCAGGAGTGGAAAAGAAAGAAACAGCGCTCAAGTCTTTAGTTTCTAAATCAACTTTAAAATCCATAACAGAGACAGTAGGCTTAAGACCAAAGCGTTTTATTTTTAACAGCCAGGCATCCTGAGAGAAGAACAATTTGAGGATCCAAAGCGCTAAGACCTGAAGTAAGCAGAGCCTGGAGTTTATGCCGTAAACGAGTGATTGGAATGAGGAGAGAAAAAGACGCAGATTAAAGTCCATGAGAGTTGCATGTGTTGCAAGAGGGAGGAGAAATGGAGGCCCAGCTACCAAGGAGGATGGTAGTGAGGCCAGGAGGGGTCTTGGGGAGAAGTAGGGAAGCCACTTTAAAAGAGTGCCAGCCTCTGCCTGTCTAGACACTTTAACACTGATCAGGGCCCAGCCCAGCCCAGCGGCAGGGAGCGCACAGCCCTGTGAGTGAGCCCTAAGAGTTGTATGTGCCAAGAACAGCTCAGGGTGCACCTTTCTTCCACAGCGGCCTGCAGGTTCCTTGTTGATCTTCATCCCCTGAAAACGATGCCCAGTGAAGCCCTGAGAGTTTGCTCAGCACAATCCAACCACGAGGTAGGAGAGACTGGAACCAAGTTGAGACCCCCACTCCTTCCTCCCTGCACACACACCACCCTCCAGCAAAGACAGTGTTAAAACTCCAGCTCCAGGTACCACAAGACTCCTGAGGTTCAGGGAGAGTGTTACATTCACAAGGACACCCTGCTAGCTAGTGACAAAACTGGGACTCAAGCCCAGGTTAGTCTTGCTCCAAAGCTACTGCTCTTAACTACAGCATTATACTGCCTCCCAAAATTCATTTCAGGCCCAGATTTCTGCAATGCTTTTTTTATGAAAGTCCATCTGCCTAGAATAAGCACAGTTGTATTATTAAGGACTCACAAAGTTCCTTATGTACACCCCTAGTACACCCCAAGTTCCTTATATATGTTAGCTCCCTAAATCCCCACAACCACCTGCAAGGTAGGCAGTGTTGGAGATGGGAACTGGATGCTCAGACAGGTTAATTAGTTTAACCAAGGTCACACAGCTAGTAAGTAGCAGGAATTGAGCCCAGATCTGGCTGATGCCAAATCTGCAAACAAACATGTATATAGATCTATGAAAACAAATTCCATTGCATTGTATTTTTAAATGTACCATTTATTTCATGCAAAATAAACAGCCTACTCAAACAAATTCTTGTCCATTACCCTCCAATATCTTGGCCTATAGCTAAATATAAACTTAATTTTGTTCTGCTTACAATGCTGATCTCTTACAAATAACTTGTCTTATTAGATTAGATTCCTGACCTTAAATATTTATTTATACTAAATTCCCAGCACAGGATTCAGATACTTAAATATTGAGAGAATAAAGAAAGGGAGAAGAAAGTGAGCCCAAGAAAGAAGAAAACAGTAAATGATCGAAATTAAGAATAAAACAGATTATAAACACCTTCCTAAAATAGGTAGATGTCAAAAAATAATAAGTAATACTTAGAGTTTCACAGATAAATATGTAGTATCTTTTTGTAAGTAAAATCTTCTGTACTATCTTTCATGTTCAGCGTCAGTTAGCTTTAGCCACAACCGACTTAATTCTGTATTGTTAATTTCAAGACCAAGTGTAACTGTCCCTAGGAACCTCCCTGCTGAAGGTGAACCAACCTTCAACAGCTCCTCCAAGTGGCCACCCATCTAAAGCACTTCGAAACTTTCCAGTTGTTGTTTTGCTCAGTGGATCTGAAAGTTAATTTTTTAGGAATCTGTGTTGGCATTATTTGCAATTACTTCTTTGTTACATAGCAACTTACTTGTGAAATAGGAATTTTTCATTTTTAGCCATGATACCCGTGAGTTATGAACACACTATCAATGAGCTATCATGTTTTTTAAAGACTCACTAGTTTATAATGTGTTGCTTCTGGGCCACAGCCACAAACTATTTACTGGAGTAACTAATGGTGTGCACATGGCCTGGTCGGGCAGCGAGAACCTAAAGCCCTCTCCAGGACAAAATGAAACACATTTCTTCCATCTGAACTCGCTGACTCTGCTTAAGCAGATCTTTCCAAAGCCATGGAGTGGTTCGTAACACAGTGCAAAGAACAGAAAGCAGCTTTCCCCCAGGCAAACCCACTTAGCCAACTGCTTATCTGGCAGAGACTTGAAATCCTTTGCCTTTTACCCTTTGGATGAATTTGTCAGGGTCAGTACCCAGGACAGTTGTAAGAGAAGAAAGCCGCATTTCCTATTTCAGTGCCTCCGTTGTCACTGTAGGTGACTTCATTCCAGCTCCAGCACCACCCCTCTCCCACCCCACCTGCCAGTCTACCTCACCCTCAACCTTGTGGTTCTTTTCTCAGGCTTAATCTACACCCTGTCTCCATCCTAATCCCACATGGGCCATGGGTGTCTGTCAGTAAAAGTTTAAGAGGCTATGCCTCCTGGAGTACTGGGATGTTGTATAGGGAACTTTAAGAACTAAAAGGTTTACTAGGAATCACAAAAATGCATTGACTCAAAGACCACGGTGTTTTGAAAGCTACCACTAAAGAGCAAGGGACAGAAGCTAGCCTAAATCAACAGACCGTATCTTTAGAGTGGCAATCAGAGGCCACCTCCATTGCTGCTTATGAAGTAGAAAAGGGACAAGCCACGCTGATATTAAATGTGGATAAAATGCAGCTTGCCCAAATCTGCCTTCATTCATTCAGTTCCTCCTAAGACTGACCCTCTGCTGGATGCCCAGGCATTGTGGTAGGTGCTGGGGCTACACAGATAGACCATACTGAACTTTTTTCAGGGAGTCAAATCATAATGGGGCAGTCACACAAAGCAACAATTATCATAGAGTGTGATAAGTATCTAAAAATTAAAGTTACCTGGGCCAGATAATGGGACTGAGCTGGGCAGGGGGAGGAAACAAAGGTGGGAGGTTTCAAAAGAAAGCTTTCTGAAGGAAAAGACATCTGAGCTTAATCTGTACCATAAAGCAGCAGAGAGAGAGTGAAGGTGCCAGGGAGGACAGGAGGAAGGATGAGGAGATGGAAGGATGGAAAAGCAGGTAAGTTTTCTTTTGCCTTTTTTTTCTTTGGTCTTTAACTTGAAGAGTTTTGTTTCTACACCTCCTTTCCAAGGAAATCTGGAAGCCTGAGAGTAGACAGAGGTCATGTGGGATCTTTCCTGAGTTATTCCAGAGAGTCAGCTCTTGTTAACCACGTCCACAGCCCCGGTAGTTGAACTCAAGTTTCCACATGTCCACCCTCCTGGTATAGCCCCTTACCACCCTCCTATGTCTGTGAATCATGCTGGTGACCGCCCCCCCCCCCCCCAACGCCGACCTGGGCTGTAGAAGCTGACTATAACTCAGATCTGGAGGATTCCAAGGTAGGACTAGGGTGCTCCTGGAATTTTCTACTCACAGAAGTTACCTGCAGAGGAATAGTGTACTCTGGGCTACAAAATGCAAAACTCCAGGTAAATTCTGACCACACATTTTGGGGGGCACACATCGTCACCTCTATTTTTTTTTCCCAGAAAGTTATAATTCAGAACCTACTTCCAGATCTCATCACATTCAATTCCTATTTCAGTTTAGTATGCCCATCCAAACCCTGAATCCATTCTCCCCAGAGAAAATTATACGATGGGCCCAAATTGAAAGTCTTCTCTCAAACTGGAAAGTTGTCCTCCCTGGTAGATTTGGTAAATTTGAAATCTTCCCACTTCAGTTGGACCCTGCTTTTGTGGATGACAAACCAGAAAATAGTTCTATCTGGATAAGTCAAATGCTCTGGTTTATTAAAACATGGTAGAGGCTGCTGATGAATGGAGACCCTTAGAGCAGTGCCTGATGCTGACACTGTCAACCCTACATCCCGAGAGCGGGGTTAAAAACCCCGTGCAGGTTCACCAGCTTAGTGGCCCTCCCTATCACCCCGCTCCCTCCTTTCAAGTTCAGGGAAGGACCTCAGGGAGCCTCTTGTTATAAATGGAGATCACAAAACTCATCTTTTATTACTCTGTTCTTATATCTTTTCAGAGAAAGAATGTTGGAAAACTGTTGGCGTTTGGGGGTTTGTGAAGGTAGGCATATCAGATTTTAATGTTAACAAGCTTTGGAAATGTCTTCAATTAAAACAACTGCTAGATGTCAATGTCTGCGCCTTCTAACCCCGCAGTCTGGCTGACAGTCTACTAACTGTTCAATTAAGGTTTATTTGACCACCAGGGAATCTCTGATATGTATACTGTGGCTCTTTCCATTTTCACTGGACAAGGTCAGTAACAAGGAAAATGATACTACAACATTTCATTGCTTCCCACAAACCACTGCACATAAATCCCAAATTTACGCCAGTCAGTTCTCAGATTAACCAGGAAACTAAAGAACAGAGACCCCACAGAAAGGCCTGGACATGTATATTCCAATATCATATGTACAAAAACAAACAAAAGCGTGAAGTTAAAACGGAGTATTACCAAAACAATTTTTTAAATGAGATGACTTTTGACTCTCCAAAGGAAAAAAAAGTAATTAATCATTTGGAGTTAGGAGGAAATATGTCATTTTGGAAAAGCATTGAGCTCCTTAGTTAAGCAACTCCAGACTGAAAACTGGATAAAATTACCTCTAAGAAGTTAATTCAAATGGTTTCATGCTATAAACCACAAGTTTCTACCAGGACTGTATTCAAAAGTGATTTTATAGCTCCATTCTGGATTCACTTCCAGGAAAATGAAAGAAGACTCAAGGCATATCTGAAGTGATTTTTCCACTAATGAAATTTTTGTGATTTCCTGGAAGAAAAATAAGAGAATTACACTGAAGTTTAATATGATGCATGCAGGGAAATGACATGGAAAATTTAGCATGTAAATCACAAGACCTTCAGCTTTACCATCAAAATTTGCAGCATCCAATCTACATAAGATTAGGAATCTTGGATTGGGGATGATAAAATCTGTCTTCTCTCGAGATATGTACACTGACCTGAAAGAGCCTTATAATTGCATACATGTTTAAGTGTGACCTAAATGCATCTAATCACAGTGTTAGAGCTATTGGAAATCTTAGATAATCATTTCTTCCATCCTTCAATAAGAGGAAGAAACAGAGATCCGGAGAGGCCTGCCAAGTCTTTCATTAGCTTTCTCTACCACTCCTCCGCTTGCTCCCAATCGCTCCCCAACTCATGGCACACTCTGAGTTCTGCCTCTGCAATGCACCCCCACACACACAGGAACTCTTCTCCCAATGACACAACTGCCTATTCTCTCTGTCTTGAAAATTCTCTTCCCTTCACTCAACACAACGCTTCCCTGATTTTCTTCCTATCTCTGATGACTTTGCCTTAGAACGCTCTCTTCTTCTACCTTCAACTTAAATGTTAACTGTCAGGACTCCGTCACAAATCCCCTTCTCTTCTCCTTCTAAACACTCTCCACCAGAAAAGCCAACTCTTCCCAGGACTGATAATCTTCAAATCTCTATCCTTACCCCAGACGTCTCACCAGAGCATCAGGCCCATGTCACCCACTGTCTGCTTGAACCTCTGCCTGTATATCCCACAGATGTCTCAAACGCAACATGTCCCAAACCAATGGTCACTTTCTCCCACCTAAATCCACTGTTCATCCCGGGTTCCCTAAATTAGGAAATGAAATTCTAGTTGTTCGAGCCAAAAACCGACGTGTCATCCTAACTCCAACTTTTCATCTCTTCTTCAATCCCAACACTCAAGGAATCAATCTTATTGATACTTTTCAGAGTCACTGAGATCTTATTTATAAAATGTTTCTCTGCCCTGCCATTTATCTCCATTTCAACTGCCTCCATCCTAGCCCAAGCCACTGCTTTAGCATCCTAACTGGCCTACTGCTTCAATTCAGATCATTCTCCAGGGTATTTTCTTCAGAGAAGGCAAAAAGACTTTTCTCGTCATTGCATTGCTTGAATCCCTTCAATAGCTCCCCAGTGCTCTTAAAATATGCCCAAATTCTATCATGAGAGAAAAGGCTCTGCATTGTCTTGCTTCCTCTCACTTTCCAGCAGACACAAATGTCTGCCTCAGTGGTTCTCAAGTGCAGCTTTTCCATGCATCAGTTTTCCCTGAGAAGCTTTAAAAGCACGTATTTTAAAACACACACAGGGGCCAGCCCGATGGTGCAGTGGTTAAGGGCACACGTTCCGATCTCTCCGGTGGCCCAGGGTTCGCCGGTTTGGATCCCGGGTGCGGACACGGCACTGCTCAGCAAGCCATGCTGTGGTAGGCATCTTACATATAAAGTAGAGGAAGATGGGCACGGATGTTAGCTCAGGGCCAGTCTTCCTCAGCAAAAAGAGGAGGATTGGCAGCAAATGTTAGCTCAGGGCTAATCTTCCTCAGAAATAAATAAATAAAACCACATGCAAAGGCAAACACACGCACATAATCTAAAGATCAGTATGTGCTGGAATCTGGCTTGTTATCTTTTGCTGCTGTGCCTTTACTTTCTACTAATTCTGCCATATCACCAGGATTGAGCTGTTAATTTCTGCAAAGGACCAGAAAAATAATTACAGGCTTCTAGAAGTACGGCAGTTATTCCTGTTTTCTCTTTTGACACTTTTCTTGATGCCAAGTTCCACAAAACAGAAGGGGGCTTTTGCCAAAGAAAACATCTGACATCTTTTTTAAAACCTCAAAGCGCCACGGAGGACAGGGAATAGAGAGAAGATGAGAGAAGCAGTGTCTGTGCCTGTGACAACTTCTCATCCTTGCCCCGCCAACAGCAGTTCTAAAGTCACAATTAACAATTCTCAAATTGCCAATGGCTTGCCAAGTACCTCTTGGGAAAAAAAAATTAGTTGTCAAAGAAAATATACCCATAGCTCTAAAGGATAACAGATACTTTTCAGAATCACCGAGAAAACTTTTCTAAAATACAGATGGCCTAGTATGATCCTTAGATCCTCTGATTAAGGAGATTCTAGATGATACTGGGGCATCCATGTTTTGATGATCTCACAGGTAATTCTGATGCACAGAAGATTTAAGAACCACTGAGACACACATTTGCCATAAACTCCCAGCGAACTTGCTCATAGAGTCCTCCAGGGTGTCAGGTTTCTGCAATTGCTTTAAGAAAACGCCTGCAAGAATTCCAGAATTCAAATTCAGGAGAGGAGAAGACTCTCAGGAGTTTCGAAAGCATCAGGACACCAGTCTGACCAGAAAAAGCTGCTGAGGTAACAATCCACAGGTACTCTCTCCTTCACCCGGAAAAACAGGAGAAGCCAGGATGTAACTCTGTGAATCAAATGAAAATCCATGCCAAGAAAAGGGAGAGAAAGAAAACAAATCAAGATGGGAACTATCCTTGTTTCTGTTGACATCACAGATAGGTGATTTTTTAAATTCTTTTTTTAAAGCATGCAGGTATTTAAAGAATGTCGCTTTTAAGAAACATTGTAGGTGTTGCTCAAAAATTTTGAAAGTATGTTACTTTTATAGTGAAAAATAAGTCTTTGGACTCACGTATTGGGATCAAGCCCTCGTCCTGCCACCTTCAGCTGTATAATAGTGGGCAATTTGCTGACTTCTTTTGAACCTTAGTGTCCTCTGTTGTAAAAACAGAATAACAATTAAGTAGTAAAAGGGGAAGTTCGCCAGTGAATCAAATTGGCCCACAGATGTCTACCGAAGCCTGGCGACTTACTGGGAGGCGAGGAGGAGAGTGGTGGGCAGGTCAGAAGAGTGGATGGGTAGAGGCACTCTGTGGAGAAGGCTGAAATCCACTCCGTGATTGGGAGGGGCTGAAGCTGGAGACGAAAACAAATAAACAAAAACCACATAAACAACTCAAGACATTAACTTTCCGGTTTATGCTAAAAGTTGGGCCACCAGTCCCGCCTCACCCTCTGACACAGTTTGTGTCACAAGACACAGCAGAGAGTGGGAAATGGGAAATGCTTTCAAAGACTTTAAAAACGCCAGTCAGACAGATGCTCAGATTTCACCAGGAAGAGTGACCTCAGCAGCCAGACAAATCAAAATGCTAAATGGGACCTAGAAACTTTAGTTTGAAACGCATCAGGGATATTTCCCAACACAAGTGTCCGTGAAGTTTGGACCAAAGACCACAAAGGGATGAAGAAGCTGGGAAAAATGGCTGAAATCCAGCAGGCGGTGCTGAGCTTTGGGGTCAGTGCTTCATCATTTTCATCCTGACCTGTATTAAACCAGTCAGATGTGGAAAAAATTATTTCATATGAAGAATTCAAAAAATGTTGTAGTTTTCTTATCGCACCATTTATCAGTAACGTGGCCAATTGCTCTGAAGAACAAACTATTACCCTTCCACCTTGCTAACCGTTTTTTAAAATAAACAAGAATCCCAGTCCATGGTATGGAGATTCCAAAGACTCTTCATAACCCCTCCTGACACTTTAACAGCGCTTATCTGTAGTGCTAGCTTCTGTCTGCATTAAATCCCAAAGGCTGCAGTACACATTCATTTCTTCTTGTCCATCATAGGGGAGGAAGAGAATGAGATCACAATCTTCTGCATAATAGTCCTCTAATACGTAGAGAGAGCCATCACTGGGGAGCACCCAGCAAGTCACAGACCAGTACACAGCACATATAGAGAAAGGTGGGATCTTTGCCTCACTCATGACTTCTGTTGGAGAGCTGGTACAGCACAGGTCTCTAAGCCTCCTTGGGGTTATTGAAAAGTGGTGCTTCATACATATGATGCTGAACATCTCTATGGTATTGGGGTTATCTACTCAGCATCTCTTTCTTAGGAACTGCCTCTCTCCCGCATCAGCATAATAAATCCAGTGCTGTTATCTTAATCCAACGTTACCGCAACCAGGGGCTCCAGGAGTAGCTGCCTAGGCAAGCTGAACCAGTGGGTCTCTTCTCCAGAACTTGGGATGATACGAAACTTGAGAATAGCCTCTCTCTGGTTATTCTGATAGTTCATGCTTCTCATTATATGAGATGAGCCTGTGTGGAGTGAGAAGCAGAGGTAGAGACCTAACAGCATTCAAGCCCCTGGTTCCACCTGCCTAAGGTCCAACTGCACCCCTGCTCTTCCCAAGACTTTGCTATTTAGGTCTTCTTTTGACTCCATGAGACACCCCATTATCTTTCTTTTGTTGTTTGTGGTTTTTAAGCCAACCAGAGTCAATTCCTGTTCCATACATGCTACAGAACCTGAACTAATACTTAATAATTGAGCTTGCTGTCTTAGTAGTTACCTAAGTGAAAAATACACACTACATAAGAATCATTTATCTGATCTTATTTTTAATCTTCTTCTAGAAGTATTTCCAACCATCCAACCAGGTGTATTAGCACTACTTATTATTATTCACATACACAATGCAGTATAGTGATAAAGGATCTGAACTCTGAAGCCAGACATCCTAGCTTTGAAGCCTAGCTCCACCTATATAGTGGACTCTGTGACATGCCACCAGATTCCCCTTCAGAACTAATGGATTTATCCCCCCAGCTGCTGGGAGTGCTGCCAGGAACTGTCCTTTACTGAAGAGAGCTGCCTCACCCACAGTAGCACCCCCTGCCAGGGACAAACTGTGTAATATAAAGGCCCAACCCCTTCATCCCAATTCTGGAAAACTCTGCAGAGCCATCCTTGCTCCAGAACTCTCCCCATAGTTGACCGAAGCCATTGTTGAGACCGCATCACACCCAATTTCTCCTTCTGCCCACTCCTGCTCCCTTCTCTGCCCTCTGGGTGTTGATCCTGGTAGCACTCCCTAATACACGCAGGTCTCCATGCTAGAGTCCACTTCATGGGGCACCTACCTTGCAACCACTCACTTGCTGAGGGATCTTGCAATTCACTCAACTCCTCTGTGCCTCAGTTTCCTCATCTAGAAAATGGGGATAATAATATGGCCTATTTCACAGTAACATCATGAGGATGAAATGAATTACTGTATATAAAATGCTTAGAACAGAGCAGCATCTGGCACATGGTAAGGGCTATTTAACTCTCAGTTACTCTTATATTCAGCACATGGTAGCAAGTTGACTCTTATTTCCTTTTATACAACTTAAATTGATTTTTAAGATTAGACAGGTTTCTAAGGGACCCTAAGTTTGAACGCAAAAAAGTTCAAGTTTACAAGGCCCCTATATCAAACATTTCCCTTCTGTTTTGGTTCATTAAGAGTCCAAGTACGTAAGCCTTTAGGACTCACAGAAGGAGATCCATCTATTGACTGGAGTTTGTGCCCGAGAAAGGGCGATGGGGGTTAGCCTTGGAGCCTGATTTTTGCCAATCTGTTGTTTTTGTAAGTGGTACTTTGTACTTGTGCCCAGAGGTGCTGGTGATGAGTGCATTGCTATAAAACTAGACATAAAACATGTGAAATGGAGCCTAAATCATAAATACAAAAATTGTAACAGCAGGTTAGATTTTATGGCTCTAATTTGTCTTAAATTGACACACTGCATTGCTCTTGGCATCACTTGGAGTGGTATATGCAAATCAAAGGTAAATATGTGCCCAGATAATTAATTCTAGTTCTATAGTGAGGTCAATATTGATAACTGAGCACTAACCATAATTCTTGATGAAGGGATAAATTTTCCTTTTATTATTCTGTGGCAAAGGATAAGTAACATATTACACATTTGCATTTACCTAGAAAGTGATTAATTGAAATTTCAGTGAACCTTTCCTATAAATCCCAGGTAAAAAGCAGAAATGGAGATTCTGTTAGGAGAAAAGGAAGAATCTGGACCACCCAGAATTTGCTCTCTCTATAAGTTAATGGCATCTTTGACTGAGAGTCCTGATGTAACAATGGGGTGGGAAGTGGGAGGAGAGGGGGTATCAGAGGAGGCTACCTGGCCCCAGCTTTGAGAAGAGAAGAGGTTGTCCTGGGCTAAGAGGTTGTCTCAGTACCATGGACTTTAAAGACCATCTATATGTTGATAATTCCCAAATCTACATCCATATCCTGTCCTGTAAAATACGGGTCTCCTACTAAAAGTTCTACATGGATGTCAAATAAGTATCTCAAGTATTATATAATGATTGACTTTTCCCCTCAAAACTTGCTTCTCCACTAGATTTTTCCCATCTCAGTAAACAACGCCAACTTCCTTGTAATTGCTCAAACCAAAAATCTAGGAGTTATCCTTGGTTCCTCTTTTTACCTACACTCAGTTAATCTCCAAAATATCTGAGTCCATGTGCTACTTTCTATCTTTACCACATGCACCCTAGTTCAACCTCCACATCACTCTCCTCTCCTATGATGCTGAGCTCCACTGGCTTTCCTTCTGTTCCTCAAATATCAATTCTCTGCTTTTCCCACTAGTCACCACAGGTCATTCCCATCCTCATGCTTTTTGTTAACTCTTTCATCTGCCTAGATTGCTTGTACCCCTGGTCTGCATATCAGTAGCTCCTTCTTGTTACTCAAATCTTTGCTTAGCATCTCCTCCTCAAAGATCACATAAATGCTATCTTATACAAGCTTGGGGACCATGGCCAAGAGACTTGGCATCTCTGTACTTTAGTTTCTCCCTCTACATATAACCCAAGTGCTCCCAAGTTTTCCCACCTCTAGGGGAATGATGGGGAAGAAAGAATATTCGTGGAACATTCTAGAGTTTCCCAAAGTAAAAAGATGGTCATTACCTAGAGATGATTTCATTGCTTCTCTGGAATATAGAAAACATACCAGATTTTTACAAATAGCACCATTTTTATCTTTTGGCCCACTACACATCAAAAGAGGGGATTGTATCAGATGGTCTCTGAGATCCCTGCCACATCTAGCCTTCCAGGAATCAACAAGCAGGGTGGAAAGAACATAAGCTTTGAAGTAAACCAGACCCAAATTATAAAAGCGAATCTCTCTGAACCTCTATTATTCTATAAAATTAACATACCATATTTACTTCTCAGAGTGGTTGTAAAGACTAATAAGGCACTTAGTACAAGGACTAGCACATACATATCTTAAATGGTGGCCATTATGCTTACTATGGGTTGAACTGAGTTCCCCCAAAAACGATACTTTGAAGCCCGAACCGTAAATACCTCAGAACGTGACCTTATTTGGCGATAGGGTCTTTACAGAAGTGATCAAGTTCAAATGCGGTCATTAGGGTCTTGTGAAGCTGAAAGCAGAGATCGAGGTGATGAGTCTACAGGCCAGGGAATGCCACACATTGCCAGCAAACCACCAGAAGCGAGGCCAGAGGCGTGAACAGATTCTCCCTCACAGCCCTCAGAAGGAACCAACCTTATCAGTCCCTTGATCTTGACTTCCGGCCTCCAGCACCACATGTGAAACAATAAATTTCTGTTATTTAAGCCACTCAATTTGTGGTCCTTCGTTCTGGCAGCCCAGGCAAATTAAGATGTGGTTTTGAGCAGCATAAGTGTTCATTGTGCATTCGTATTGTTTTTCCACCTAGACGTCAATGTTTTGCAAACTTTTTTGACAGCAAGCTCAGTGAGCAAAGTATTTTACATAGTCATCAATAGATAATAGATAGATAGATAGATAGATAGATAAAATGATATTGGCTATTACTACCTAAAATGCACTCTGATATTTTCTATTGTGTTATTTTTCATCCGGTGGTGATCGACTAAATAGATTTCACAACCCCCAGTGGGTAGTGACCCCACTTGAGAAACACTAAGCTGGACTACAACCTCCTTAAGAGCAAGGACACATCTCTCTTTTCATTCTACCCAACCCAGGGCTGGACTTGTATTAATCAAATAAACTCGTGATGATTGACTTTTAAGGCCAAGCTATATTTGACATGTTGCTACACCAGTACTTTGAGCTTTATTAATAAATCCATGCCAAAATATTCAAGACCCATGAGAATTTTAAAATAACTACCAGGAAAGTATGTACTAATAAATGTTCTTAGATAAAATCATATTATTATAAAAATGTACGTTAGATGCTTCTTCGATACACAGATTAGTTCTATCCTGGATGGCATTAGCTCTCTCCAAGGGTACTGAGGCTCCCCATGCTGCTTATCGTCCCCCAAAATTAGTATACTCCTTGTAATAATAAGATAGCTTGTATGTCTTTCATCAAATGATATGTATATATATTGGGGAGGGCAAAGAATCTACTTCAATAGTTCATATCACACTGTTACATTTTAAAAGGAATTATATCAAATAAATATTAGATAACAAACGATAAACACTTCTCACTGGTGACATAAGATGTTAGTCAAATGATGTGTTGTATTTTTGAGAATGTCTATGAGTTTATTAGTTATCTATGCCTAGTCCTTTGATAAAACTCAAAAATAAATATAATGCAATATTAAAGCAATGAATAATTATTCAGTACCTACTATATATCTGCAGGAAACTATGATTAACATAAAACTGTATGAGACTTGGTATCTGCCTTCCAGCACCTGCTTAAAGTCCAGTGGGACTTAGAAGATATAGGGCTTCTAGACTAGGTGCAATATGACCACAGGTACACCCATGACGCTCCACTTCCATCCCCTCCCCAATCACCTCTACCAACCACCACCACCACCACCACCTTAATTCCCAAGGAAATGAGTAGTACAACTAGAGACAAAATTTACACAGCCATTAAAAACTAGAGCTGGGAGTTATTCATGTGTCAAAAAACTTTAACACACAACTACTGCCCCTGTAGGGCCCATCCAGATTATGCCTCAAAATCTTCTCCTGGAATTAACAACTACAGAGAGAAGGAGACACCCCTCCCTTCCCTCACCCCCACAGGCAAAGATGAAAGCTTTGGTGCCTCACCTTCAAGGTCTTCACAATGTGTTCAGTTGGTTGTGTGTTTTTTGGGGTTTTTAGGGGATTTTTTTGGTGAGGAAGGTTGGCACTGAGTTAACGTCTGTTGCCAATTTTCCTCTTTTTGCTTGAGGAAGATTGTCCCTGAGCTAACATTTGTGCCAATCTTCCTCCATTTTGTATGTGGGATGCTGCCACAGCATGGCTTGATGAGCAGTGTGTAGGTCCGTGCCCAGGATCCAAATCCGCGAACCCCAGCCCACCGAAGCAGAGTGTGTGCGCCGAACCACTACACCACCAGGCTGGCCCTGATTATATATTTTTAAAACTTACAAAAAGTAAGCTATTTTAGATGTTCATTTCTACTTTGACTTCCCTCCATTGTATTTCCCCTAATGTCTGGTGGTGTGGGAGTGGCCTTAGGCAATCCTGGGAGCCAAAGAAGAGATGAATTGGGGATATATTTGGTTCGGATTTAGTGGGTTCTATTTGCGTGGTTTGCAGTAGATTCAGAGATAATAAAATTAATCCTCCAGTGGAAGGATGGCTTCTGAGAATTCTAATGCCCACTGCACTAACTCACTCAGCATCATGATATAAAGTTTCAGGGCCAACAGCTGCACCATGACATCAACACTTCCTACAGTGCCCAGCACCAGACACACGGGTTATGAAAGAAAAGTAGGTATTAAAATATAGGAAGTGAGCAGCCAGTCTGTGGAAAATTCTTCTAAATCTTATCTCTCATATAGGAAAGAAACTTAATAGAAATTTTTCCAAACTGACACTAAAAATATACATATTACAGGGCCAGCCTCGTGGTGTGGTGGTGAAGTTCGCATGCTCCACTTCAGCAGCCTGGGGTTCGCAGGTTCGGGTCCCAAGTGCAAACCTACATTTTGCTCATCAAGCCATGCTGTGGTGGTGTCCTACACACAAAAATAGAGAAAGACTGGCACAGATGTTAGCTCAGGACAATCTTCCTCGCAAAAAAATAAAAGTGCATATTATTATCAATAATAAATTGGAATTTGAAAGAAACTTTTCAAATGAACAATAAAAAAATAAATTAAATAAAAGCTAATTAATAAATAAACAAAAAAGAAACATTGATAATCTGTTATAGAGGAAATACTAATGTATCTTTCTATTCTCTTTGAAAAGGTGATCAAAGACAACACAGGCAAAAAATGTCAGAAAAATTCAGAAATGTATCAAGAAGTATAGCAATTGCCATACCAAGAAGCAGCAAATAGAGTTAGCCTAATGGCAGGAGAGCTCAGAAAATGCCCCAAAAAATCTCTTCTAGAGGAAGGGTTTGCCCTGAAGTGAGTCCTATATCTTTTGTAAGAGCTGAGAAATGTGGGGATGACAGGCAGGTGCTGGAGAAGGGCTCCATGGGAGACAAGCTCAAAGGAGACTCAAGGAGAGTAGTGAACTATGCTGGGGCCAAAAGATCTCTAAACACAAGGACAAATCATCTCCCCAAAGGGAGTTCCTGCAAATAGCTAGGCCAGGAAAAGGCAACTCATTCTCTAAAGAGTAGTAAAAAATAGGTACAACCTCAATACAACAACACTACTAGAAAAATGGTGTGAGAGAGTAGAAAACTTACCAGACAAAAACATCTTGAGAGAAAGCTTGCCACACAGAATAGATGAAAACAGTGACCAATATTTGGCTGTGAATTTTTTTTTCAATTATTTTTCTCTAAAAAGCAAGCCCCAGGGCTGGTCCAGTGGCATAGTGGTTAAGTTCATGCACTCTGCTTTGGCAGCCTGGGGTTTGCAGGTTTGGATCTCAGGCACAGACCTACACACCACTCATCAAGCCATGCTGTGGTGGCATCCCACATAAAAAATAGAGGAAGATTGGCACAGATGTTAGCTCAGGGCCAATCTTCCTCACGAAAAAAAAAGAAGTAAGCCCATAAAGTAGAAATGTAGAAACTCAGAGAACGGGTTGTAAGGAAACAAGAGGAAATGGTGAAAAAAAGGAATGAGATTAATTAAATATCATGAGAACTTGGGGAAAAAATGAAAATGAAAAAAGCATTATATAAATGAGGACAAAATGAAAACAAAAAATAATAAACATTGAGGGGAAAAACAGTAATTAATATCAATTATAGATATTAGATCAAAATAAAATCTAATGTAGATGAAAATAAGACAAAACAGGAAAGAGTTAAAAAGGAAGAGAGAGAAAGTGGGAGATGAAAAAAAAAAACAGGCAAATGAATTCCACTATATAAATATAATTGTTGTCTTAAAGGAAGAGTAGATCGAACAAATTTTTCTTGAAGTAAAAGAAGAGTTGAAGTTACATGGCATACCACATGCCTGAGAAAACTGACCCAGAACAGGCAAGATTGAGACAAATCCTAGTAAAATTATCGGAATTTAAAGATTAAAAGAAATCATTTCATTTGTCAGACACATCGATCAAAATACCTGTAGAGGAAAGAACTAGCTTCAGATCAGATTTTTCCACAGCATCATTCAAAGCCAAAGACAGAAGAGCAATCTCTCAAGACCCTCAAGGAGAAAAGTGTGAGCAAAGCATCTGATAGCCAGCCAAGCTGTCTTTCTGAATCGAGGCTACAGAAAAATAGTGCTGCACATACAACTCAGGGAATATTTTACCGTGAGCCCTTCTTGAGGAAACACCTAGGCAACAAATTCCAGCCATGGAGAGATGACTGGGGAAACCGCAGCAAAATGATTGATGGTGTATATTAAATGTATTTAACAGTAGAACTAGGATTAAAATAAATGTGAGGATTTGGGGGACATCAGATTATAAATATTAAATAGGTACATCCTCTGTGCCAAGTGATTGCCTTCTAGTTGTATTCCCTAAAGAAGCACATATATCCAAGAAGATATCTTTAAGAATTTTATTGCGGCATCGTTTATAACAGCAAAAAAGAAAAATTGAAATAGTCTGTCCATGAAAATTTAAATGCATGCAAAACAGTACTATATAATGCTTACGAATAAATATATAATTAAAATCAGGACTGGCTACATTATTTGCAAGACTTAGTGCAAAATGAAAGTGCTGGGGCCAGCCCAGTGGCACAGTGGTTAAGTTTGCATGTTCTGCTTCAGCGGCCCAGAGTTCACCAGTTCGGATCCCAGGTGCAGACCTACCCACCTGTCAAGCCATGCTGTGGCAGACGTTCCACATATAAAGTAGAGGAAGATGGGCACAGGTGTTAGCCCAGGGCCAGTCTTTCTCAGCAAAAGAGGAGGATTGGCAGCAGATGTTAGCTCAGGGCTAATCATCCTCAAAAAAAAAAAAAGAAAAAGAAAAGAAAATGCAAGGCTGTAGTACAGTATTTCAAATGCTGTATTGACCCAGTTTTGAAGTCACAACTGAAAACCTCAATTTCCCTTCACCAGCAGTTTGCTAAACCTCTACTCTAACCACTTCCCTTGTCAGACTCTCATGCTCTGAGGTCACTGTGAGCACACCCAACCGCCTCCCTTATCAGGACCTGACACTCTAGGGCCAGGTACCAGACAGCTAGGGACAGCTCTTTCTCCCCAGAGCCTGTGAAATTATTCAAATTAGCCAAACCACAGGGACCCCAGGAAACGCAGCTGATTCCCTGGCTTGCCTTACATAAACTGTTACATTAAACAGCTCCAGCTTGCTGTTATCCTGTCCAGGGGGCAGCCCTCTGTGTGGGCCTGCATGGGGCCCTTCTCTCATTTGCAGCTATAAGAAAGAGTTCTGCTTGTCACCTATCTGAGTGTCAGGGTATTGCATCCCACCATCAAAAGAATCTTTAAATCTCACAAAACAAGGGCCACTTGCCTTGTTCAAGAATAATTAACATTTCAAAATGGCAACAGCAGAGCCTCAAACCAAGCACAGGATCCTTCTAAACCCAGGCATCGTGCAACTGCACAGCTTACATCCCTGTAAAGCTGGCTCTGATGAAAACTTTGAAACACACGGGACTCATAAACACTAAATTCAGAATAGTATTGACTTTTAGAGAAGGAGGGAGGAGAATTAGAAGAACTGAGTGTTTCAACTGTATCTAGGATCTTTTATTTTGTTTAAAAAACAATCTGAGCCAAATACAGCAAAACATTAAGATCTGATAAAGCTAGGTGATGGATATATGGGTATCTGTCAGATTTTCTGAAGGCTTTGAACTATTTCAATTTTTTAAAAAATGAGTGGTACAGCCATATGACTCACTCAGAGAACAGTTTACAATGAAATACTAGAACAGTATTTGAAAATTTTGGGGATGTACTTTAGAGCCCACAAGCCTTAAGACAGATTTTGAAAGCAGATTAAAAATTAAGGAAAATGAGTTTGGAAGTGTTGAAACAGAAAGGAGAACGGTGGTCGCCAGGGTCTGGGGGAGGGGAAATGGGAGTTGCTGCTCAACGGGCACAGAGTTTCCGTCATGCAGCATGAAAAAGTTCTAGAGATCTGCTTTAAAACATTGTGATTCTAGTTAACAAAATTGTACACTGAAACATTTGTTGAGAGGTTAGATCTCTTGCTATGTATTTTTACCACAATTAAAAAGAAATTCACCTTGGAGATTAGTGTATGTCCCTAAGCTTTAATTTATGCAACATTTAAATGATATTAATAACAGTTGGGTGTATTTTTAGCATTACAGTAAGAATTAAAGGATACATGTTAATCATTTAATACAATATTCATTTACCATTGGCATTATAATTATCATCACCTCACTGAA